GATTCTCCTCCTATAAACCGATAAACGTACATGGGTTTCCTTGTAAAAATGTCTGGTGTGGGTGGATGAATAGACCTATGGTGTTGTTTTGCTTATATGTTGTTTTTATTTCATTTATGTATTTTATTTTAATATTATGATTATGCCTCTTTGCTATTTATGTACAGCGCGGTGAGCCCAGCCCTAGGCCGGGGTACCGCGCTATATAAGACCACTTATTATTATTATTATTATGTTTTTGTTTGCAACTGTTGGTGCACCTTTTTTTGCGACTGTTGGTGTATCTTTTTGTTTGCGACTGTTGGTGTATCTTTTTGTTTGAGACTGTGGGTGTATCTTTTTTTTTGCGACTGTGGTTGTATCTTTTTGTATGCGACTGTTGGTGTATCTTTTTGTTGTTACTGTGGGTGTATCTTTTTATTCGCGACAGTGGGAGTATCTTTTTATTTGCGACTGTGGGTGTATCTTTTTGTTTGTGACAGTGGGTGTATCTTTTTGTTTGTGACAGTGGGTGTATCTTTTTGTTTGCGACTGTGGGTGTATCTTTTCGTTTGCTCATGTTGGTGTATCTTTTTGTTTGATACTGTCGGTGTATCTTTTTATTTGCGACTCTTGGTGTCTCTTTTTTTTTGCGACTAGGGGTGTATCTATTTGTTTTCGACTGTGGGTGTATCTTTTTGTTTGCGACTCTGGGTGTATCTTTTGGTTTGAGACTGTTGCTGATTCTTTTTTTTTGCGACTGTGGTTGTATCTATTTGTTTGCGACTGTGGTTGTATCTTTTTGTTTGCGACTGTGGTTGTATCTTTTTGTTTGCGACTGTGGTTGTATCTATTTGTTTGCGACTGTGGTTGTATCTTTTGGTTTGAGACTGTGGGTGTATCTTTTTTTTTGCGAATGAGGTTGTATCTATTTGTTTGCGATTGTGGTTGTATCTTTTTGTTTGCGACTGTGGGTGTATCTTTTTGTTTGCGACTCTTGGTGTATCTTTTTGTTTGCGACTGTGGGTGTATCTTTTTGTTTGCGACTGCGGGTGTATCTTTTTGTTTGCGACTGTGGGTGTATCTTTTTGTTTGCGACTGTGGGTGTATCTTTTTTTTGACACTGTGGGTGTATCTATTTGTTTGCAGCTGTGGGTGGGTCTTTGTGTAATTGATATATATCTTGGTTTGTATGTATTCACAAGAAAAAAGTGTCTATCACCGGGCCATATAAGTTCCTGAGAAGTTTTGTTTCCAATATATTTATCATCTTCTCTGCTTTTCTTCTAGAACAGAGTCTCATTTATGTAAGTTACCACTTGTCCTATGATAATGGTGTATATTGCCTTTTTGTTCCCCTAGAGAGGTTTTTGGTACCAAGTAGCGTTTTTAGGCTGACATAGGAACGATTGGCTACTGTTACCACTTCTTTCACCATTGACCTTATTTATTGTGCTCTTTTATAGTAACCCCCAGATATTTTAAAGCAAAAACTTTCTCAAAGATGTGTTTGTTTGTTTGTATTGATGGTGTCATCAGTGTGCTTGTTTCGTGACATCATCATATATTTTGTCTTCGCTTCTTTTACCTAAAGACCAGCTTTGACCGAGACATATTCAAGTTTCAATCTTTAATTATATCATTGTATGTTTCTACTAAGCAGCGCTATATCGTCTTCGAATGCCAGGCACTGCAGTGGCTGCCTTTATAAAGTTCCTGATGGTTGTTGTTCTTTACTACGGCACCTCTCTCGAAATAGTTTGTAATGGTTTCACTAGTGCTCACATGTATGTTTCTAATGCATTTTTCTCTTTGATGTTAAAAAGAGTACATGAATCTCCTTATCCCAGGTCCTAATTAATTGAGAACTTTTCTCTCCCTGTACTTTGCTTCTACTTTTGGAGTTAGCCATCGTTATATACATGAGACGTATATCATAAGCTCTTTTGTAGTCCACATATAGTTGGTGTATGTTGATGTTTTATTCATATTTTTTCTCCAGGAGACATCTAATAGTAACATTCTGAAAGTCTAAAATACCCTTTTTACACATGTAGTCTAAAAGAGACAGTGAATTAAAATATAAAACAATATGCACCACTGCATTTTTTAATTAAGTTTTAGTAAAGGAACCCTTGCACTCGCTTTTGCTCAAGTCTCTTTCTTTCCTCAATATATGTTCCCCATACATGACGTCAATCAATGTGACTTGACAGTGTTGAATAAAGTCTTGAGTAAAATATAAATAATGGGTGCACAAAAGTTGTTTTGTTCAGGTACTAGGTGCAAGTTCCTCCCCCAACGCTGGGGAAGTATCTCCACTAATCAAATACTCTTATCAAAACATAGCAATTAGCGATGTAATTACATTATATGAAACGTGATCCGCCAATTATGCATGCGACAGATAGAAGAAAAGACAGAAATATACATCAAGAAATAACAAGAAAAAAGAGAGATATTGTGAGCGAGATAATGAGGCATATGTCACGTAGAGAGAATATGATTGAAAGATCGACTCTGATGTGATAGAATGTAAATGAGAGAGAGAAATTTAGAGATATGAATCTAGAGAGAGATATAGTGAGAAAGATAACATACATATTCCGGAAGAGGTAGAGATAGAGAAAGCCGGATAGAAATATAGAGATTGATATGGAAAGACTAACAGACAGACATATATGTAGATTGATAGAGAGAGAAAAAGAGAGATGGATGGATAGAGATAGAAAGGTTCCAGCAGAGTGAAGGACAGCGCAAGTCACTCCAATCTACAAGAAAGTGGAGCATTCCGACCCTGCCAACTATCGTCCGATATCTCTCACCAGCGTGGTCTGCAAACTGTTGGAGCATATAATCATAAGCACAGTCATGATAGCATCTTGAAGCCAAAATAAATAAATGACTGTCAACATGGTTACCGAAACAATAGATCAAGTGAGACCCAGCTCCTTGAATTTGTAGAAGACTTGATGACCAATCTGGAGAACCACAAGCAGACTGACATGCTGGTGATGGACTCCGCAAAGGCATTTGACCGTGCAAATAATAGTTTGCTTCTACACAAACTCCACAGATATGGGATCCAAGGCCCAACTAAAACCTGGATCTCTAGCTTCCTCAGCCACCGATTCCAAGCAGTAGTGGTGGACTGTACAAGCTCCTCCTTTGCCGATGTGAAGTCAGGAGTCCCAAAGGAACCATGAAAAGAAATCATTGAATGTAGTTATCAAGATGTTTATTTGGTGAAGTCAGTGGAATTAAAGGTAGCCATACGTGACATGTTTTAGCTGAAAACTATTTAAGTACGTAGCCATAAAGATCCCGAAAGTTGAAAACTATTTAAGTAGGTAGCCATAAAGATAACGACTAGTTACAAACTATATAGGGGTATAGCCATAAAGATAACGACTAATTACAAACTATATAATTAGGTAGCCATAAAGATCACGACTAGTTACAAACTATATAATTAGGTAGCCATAAATATCCTTACAAATTAAAAAACTTTAGAATTAGGTAGCCATAAAGATTCCCGACTAGTTACTAGTGAAATAGTGAAAATAGTGAAAATACATTAATTTATAAAAGGGTTTTCAAACATCTTGCACGTTCGACTACCTGACGCGCAACGACTACTTCCGGTCGTTCGTCCTCTGTTTGTACATTTTCGGCTTCGCTTGCCCGCTGACGACCATTCTCTACTGCTACTATTACATCTACAAGGCAGTTGCCCAGCACGAGAAAGAAATGGGCCAAATGGCGAAAAAACTCAACGCAGAGATCCGCCAAGGACAGAGCGCCAAGAAGTCCGAGATCAAAACTGCCCGGATCGCCATGACCATCATCGTTACCTTCCTGTTATCGTGGCTGCCCTACGCCACGGTTGCCCTCATCGCACAGTTTGGTCCGGTGGAGCTGGTCACCCCATACGTGTCCGAGCTGCCCGTCATGTTTGCTAAAGCGTCTGCCATGCACAACCCTCTCATCTATGCCCTGTCGCATCCCAGGTTTAGAGAGGCAGTAGACAAACGCTTCCCATGGCTGTTGTGTTGCTGTGGCGTGACTGCCAAGGAGAAAGAGGTAGCCTCTACTGCCGCCATGGAGAAGAATTCCAAGATGAACCGCATGGACAGTGTCAACAGCACAGCGTTTGGTGGCAACCAGAGTCAGATGAGTGAGATCAGTAACCTGGACAGTGACACGGCCGTTGAAGAGCCCGCGGAGCCGGCCCGCCGTACAGGCATCCGAATGAAGAGCATCAAGGACAAATTGAAGAAAGAAGCCAGTCAGCCAGCTCAGCAAGACAACTCAGCACTGGTCAAGGACATCATGCAGACATTGGCTGTGGCCATGGCTACCCAATCAGCTGGTCAGCAGGCCCCTGTTTATCTGCCACAGCAGGTGATGGGCAGTGTTGTCCAGGAACAACAGATGCAGCAAATAATCTACGCCATTTCACAGTGCACGGAGGCTAACCAGGCACCACGTATTGCCCAGGCAGACACAACTCAAACTGTATCCGGTGACTCCATTTCAACTCAGCTGCCCCCACCTCTGGCCAATGTTGTGACCACCGAAGCGGAGGTGAACGGGGGCCACATCAACAAGGCCTTCCAAACAGACTGATATTTTATTGTAGCCTCCAGAAACACATCTATCTAGTTAATTTTCATAGCAACGTCAATTTTCTTTGAAACAGAGTCATCCAATAAAACATTTCCCAAAGTCAACTGTGTGATGCGACCTTTAACCTTTTCAGACCAAAACAGGAACTCTTTTTTCTTTCAAAACTCCTTCCATTACGAAGCTCAGTTATAGTTGAACATACCGGTACCAAAGACTTCATCCTTGTTACAAGACTGCACCCAAGGCATTCAGGAACATTTAGCTCTATTTGAGATCACTTAACTGTTAACACCTGGTACAAAATTATAAAATTAAATTACATGATTACAGCAAGAAGCAAGTATAGGAGCTGCTCATTCCTGCCCAAGACAATCGGGGACTGGAAGGCTTTCAAAACGAACAGTTGAGGCGACAACACTAGACTCATTTGTGTCTATTGCCTCAAGCCTTCAAACCCCCAGTGCATGATTCCCTCACAAAGTGGAACTGGAAATCAGTGAAATGTCCTAATCAACACAAAGCATAGACACATTGCAAATCCCCTCTACATTCAAAGAGCCAAAATGATCAATAAATTGATCGTGGGCCCTTAAGATATAGAAGAAGAAGTTAATTAAGAAAAGTTCCATGTTGCAACCTCCTTACATAATGTTTGCTAATATTTCATTTCCCGTTTGGCCAATCTACTTTAAATTAGTTTAAATTGGGTTTAGTTTAGAATAGTTGGATTTAGATCTTTATATTGGTTAAGTTTAGACTATTTCAGCTCAGGTTGAATATAATACATGACTTTACTTTACATTTGTTTAGTTAATAATCGTTAGTTTACTTTAGATTAATTGAATTTATTATTCTAGACTAATTAAACTATTTTTAGCTTAGAATATTTAACACTACAGATGTAGGTAAACGAAAGGAAAATTTTACAAGTTTAAATCATTTCTTAAATTTAATTTCTTGTTGTTTTATTTGTTTTATTTTTTTTTAAGGGGGGGGGGGGAGAGAATTCGCCTGAAAACACAAGGCGACTATTCGTTTTGGCAGAAAATGCCAGGTTCTTTAGCTTCGGGTTATAGAAACCCTACTAGTCCGGTGCGCCACGAAAAGGCAGAACCTTTGCACCGGGCAACCTAAACCAGTTACAGAACAATCCATAATGGTCTAGATTTAATTAAGATCAAACTTATAAAATTTA